CAGAGCACGGGGCACGTGTGAGTCAGTGGTGGGAACTTCACATCCCGGTTGTCCCATGCTCCTGTGTCAGCTGCAGTAACACATCACTTGGAGCACCACCACCATGCCCATAGCTACGTCCTTTTGTCCCCCTCACCACACACAGCTCCTGCTCTTCAGTGCTGACATCCCATTTAGCCACCCCCCTCTTGGGCAGCGGAGCTGCTCATGGCAAAGCTGGAACCCATCGGAGCAGCAGGTTGGGATGCTGGGGGGGTGGGTTCAAGTTTGATTTCGAGCATTGCTCAGAGGAACATTTGGAGGCATGAACTTCTCCCCCCTCAGCCACTGAGCCCTCTCCTCCCCGTGGGGGGGAGTCAGATTTTCCATGTTTTCCCTGTGTTGATTTTCCAGCTGTGTTTTAGCAGCTTTCCAGGGATCACTTTGCAGAACAGACCAGCCAAAAGCAACCCCAAACCCAGCCTGCGCTGCAGAAACCCCCAGTGCTGGTGGGGAGCACAGAGCTCCCCAGGGCTGGGTTGTTTCCACCTTAACACTTCCCTTCTCGGGTGCTGAGCTTCCTCCTGGTGAGGGGAAGTTCAGGTTGGACACAAGGTAGAAGCTCTTCCCTGTGAGGGTGCTGAGGCGCTGGCACAGGGTGCCCAGAGAAGCTGTGGCTGCCCCATCCCTGGCAGTGTTCAAGGGCAGGTTGGACACAGGGGCTTGGAGCAACCTGCTCTAGTGGAAGGTGTCCCTGCCCGTGGCAGGGGTTGGAGCTGGAGGAGATTTAAGGTCCCTTCAACCCAAACCAGGGTTTGTATGTCTGTGTTTCCATAGGGCTGCTTCAGCTCTTGCCTTGCCAAAGCACCTCGTGCCCACCAAGGGGCTTGTCTCAGGTTGTGCCCCTTCTGCTTTGTGTGTTTTCTCTTTTTGGTGCTGCTCTGTTGCTGCACAGGCCCCAGCAGCGCTGGTTAGAGCCGGGGGGCTCTGCTCCTGGGGCTCTGCTCCTGGGGCTCTGCTCCTGGGGCTGACCTTGTGCGGAAGGAGCCAGGCTGCTGCGGCCGGCGAGAGGCTCAGGTGCGCGGGGCAGGAGCGTTTCTGCTCTCTTTGAGCTGAACATCAACCACCCTGACAGTGCCGGGTGGTTCGGGGGGGCTTTGGGGAAGCACCCGCTGGCTCCAGGAGCGCTCCGTGTGTGCATCCTGCCCTCGGTGCATCCATGAATGCCACGAGCCACTGAGGGACTCAACCCAAGGCAGCTCTCTTGAGCTCACCGCTGGTAGAGCACTGGGAGCAGCCTGAGAGAAACTGGGGAACCATTGCTGAAGGTACCTGGGGTGCATTGGGCAGCTCTGTTGGGGGGAGGTGGGTCCCTGGGTGGATGCGGATCTCTTGGAGACCCCAACCAGACCCATGGGAGAGCTAAGGTCGTCCTCCTTGGGAGGACCAAGTCCTGCTTGGAAGGACCCTGCAGGTAGGGCAGGATGGAGGCCTGATGGTGCACGTGGCATCTCAGAGCCGTGTTGTGTGATGGGGTGGGGGGGTCTGTGCTTGGTTTTGTGCTGAAGGAGCTGCTTGACCAGGAGGGGGATGTGGAAGGTGACAGAAAGCCCCAGGTCTGTGTCCTCCCGTGCACCCCAGCAGCTCGTCAGCCCGTGCTGGGACATGCAGGGACAGCCCACGCAGCGCAAACACCTCCTGCACCCAAACAAACACTCTCTGTGACAGGCAAAAAGCACAGCCCAGGCGTTTTCCCACTGAGCTCATTCCCAACACAAGGTTTGTGGGAGTGGGGGCTCCATAAGGAGCCACCTGCGCCCCAGCAGAGGACACAGAGCTCGGGAGAGGGGACAGTGTGAAGCAGGCACCGCCTCTGAGCACATCCAGCCCATCAGCAGCGCCTGTGGGGTCCCTTTCCCTCCTTCACAAGCAGCTCCTACGCTCCCGTTTCCATGCCAGGCTGGTTTTCCCTTTGCTCAGCACTTGCTGCCTTTCCGGAACGGGATGTTGCTGGAGGATGGGGGAAAGCACGTGGGGGCCGGGAGCTGGAGCAGTGCTTTGTGTTCTCCTTTCCCTGCTTCCCTTTGCTGCTCCAACTGATCCTGGCAACAGCAGCTATAAATATAGGTGATTTCTGCCTTTCCTCCACAACCTGCGTGTCCCACCCTTCTCCTTGGCTCTCGTGGGAGGAGAGAGGAGCCTTTCCATAGGAAGGCTTTAAACTGAAGCAGCCTGGGAGCATTTGGGATGTGCTGATTGCACACTGTGACCTACATGGGCGTGCAGAGCTGTGAAGGGGGCTGGGAACAGTGGGATGGCAGCTTGCAAAGCCCTGGAGCATGTCTGCCATCCCAGGAGCTGCCCGAGAGCTTGAGATGGCCTCAAGCTTCCCCTTTTTTGGGACATCTGCAATGAGTTTCTGTTTGAGGTTTCCTCTCTGTGCTGGGGCAGCCCCCTGCTTCCTTCCCCCTGCAGACATCCCCTGGCACAGCATCTGTGGATGGCACATCCTGGGGTGATGCTGGGACATGCCTTTGGGGGATGCATATCCAGGATGGTGGGATGCTGGAAGCAGGCACTGGATGGTGCTGGACCCGTGCGATGGAAGAGGAGAGGATATAGGAGGGTTTTGTAGCTTAACCTGCAGCTCGTGTCTTCAGGCTGGTTTGAGCTCTGTTCCCTGGCTGGGTTGTGTTGGAGGTGTCTGTGAGCAAGCCTGGTTCTCCATGTGGCCAGGCCTGAGGTGGCTCAGCAGAAGCAGAGCCTGGCAGAGGTGATGGGTGGAAATCATGGAATCCCAGCATGGGTTGTGTTGGAAGGGAGCTTAAAGCTCCTCCAGCTCCAGCCCCTGCCCCGGGCAGGGACACCTTCCACTAGAGCAGGTTGCTCCAAGCCCCTGTGTCCAACCTGGCCTTGAACACTGCCAGGGATGGGGCAGCCACAGCTTCTCTGGGCACCCTGTGCCAGCGCCTCAGCACCCTCCCAGGGAAGAGCTTCTGCCCAAGAGCTCATCTCAGTCTCCCCTCTGGCAGGTTCAAGCCATTCCCCTTGTCCTGTCCCTCCATCCCTTGTCCAAAGCCCCTCTCCAGGTCTCCTGGAGCCCCTTTAGGCCCTGGAGCTGCTCTAAGGTGTCCCCTTGAGGAGCCTTCTCTTCTCCAGCTGCCCCAGCCCAGCTCTCTCAGCCTGGCTCCAGAGCAGAGCTGCTCCAGCCCTCGCAGCAGCTCCGGGACCTCCTCTGGCCTCGCTCCAGCAGCTCCACCAACATCATCCACCCATATGGGGTGGCTTGTCCTGGATGTCCTGTGCAATGAGGAGCTGCACTCAAGCTGGTGGCACTTTGAGAGGCCTCAAACACCTCTGGGAAGCGGGTCCCTGCAGTCCTGGGTGCTGGACATGCTGGCAGAGCTTCCTGGATCTCCCCGTGCTTCTTGGTACCAGCACCTCTTCCTTGCACTGCTTATAACTATGACCCAGTTCAATTCAGAGCAGCTGGTCTGAGCCCGAGCTGTGAAGCCTGTGGCAGCTATTTCAGACCTGGAAAAGGGTTTGTATGGGCCAAAGCTGTTTGGTTTTGATCATGTCCCCCTCTAAGAGTTGGGTTTGGGTGGCCCCAATCCAGAATCCCACCCAGGGCTTCCCCCAGAGGGCGATTCATGGAAGAAACATGGAAAACTGAGGGATGTGGGATGGGGTTAATGGCAAAAAGATGCTGCAGGATATGTGTTTAGCTGGGACTTGAAACCAGCCCCAATCCCAGCCTCCTGCTGCATCCCAGCTGAGGCCGTGTTTTCACCTCCTGTTTCCACTGATTCATTCAAAAACACCCAACATGGAACAACTTAATCCTCCCAAACACCCATAAACTTAGAGCACAGCCTAAAAATAGCTCCGTGCCCTGTTTGAGGTGTTGTCCCAAGTGCTGGGGAGGTTGGGAACTAAAATAGCTCCTTAATCCAGCAGCAGCAGAGGCTTTTCCTTCCCCACACACTGTTTGGAGCAGATCAGGTTTTACAGCTCCAGGTTTTCCAGCTCCTTCTTTCAAAGGCATCAAATTCACTTTAATGACCACAACTTTTCACCTGATGGGAGATGCAGGGAGTGAATCCATGTGGGCTGAGCTCTCGGGGACTGTTACATCTCCTCATCCTCAGCAGCTCATCTCTTTCCTTGCATTAATCCACCCAGATTCCCTCTCTTTATGACACAGATATAAAATCCATTGCAAGATTCCCTCTTTTTCTCTCCCCGCTGAATGATTCAGCTCCCAGATCCCTGCTCTCCCAGCGGGCAGGCGGCTGCAGCCCTTCCCTCTTGAACCTCATCCAGGTCTTGCATCAAGCTGAACAATGTTGGAGTTGATATGCTGTGGCCACAGCCTGTTCCAAGCAGCCTTTTCCCTACGGCTGCTCCGGGAAGTGTCCATCTGACTCACCTGCTCCCGCTTCCCGATTGCTCCCTGGCACTGGATCAGCCTCTCTGGGAGGCTCTTTGCTGCTGTGACTTGCTGGGAGGGGTTAATGCTGCTTTTTCCCCATGGATTTTATTCTGCGTGTCTGGATGCACCCAAACTTGAAGCTGGGTACTGACAGTTTGCAGTGGGCATTGGAAGGGGGTGGGATAGCAAGTGGTGGGAATAGGAATGGTGACAGCCTTCCAGTGCCTAAAGGGGCTCCAGGAAACCTGGAGAGGGGCTTTGGACAAGGGATGGAGGGACAGGACAAGGGGAATGGCTTGAACCTGCCAGAGGGGAGACTGAGATGAGCTCTTGGGCAGAAGCTCTTCCCTGTGAGGGTGCTGAGGCGCTGGCACAGGGTGCCCAGAGAAGCTGTGGCTGCCCCATCCCTGGCAGTGTTCAAGGGCAGGTTGGACACAGGGGCTTGGAGCAACCTGCTCTAGTGGAAGGTGTCCCTGCCCGGGGCAGGGGTTGGAGCTGGAGGAGCTTTCAGGTCCCTCCCAGCACAAACCAGTCTGGGATGCTGTGATTCTAAGGGCTTTTCCTTGTCTCTCCTCTCTGGCTCCAGGTGGCACAAACTCCACTCCAAGGCTGGGAAGAAGGAGAAGGAACGTGGTGAGATCCTGGTGTGCATCCAGTTTACACGCAACAACATCACAGCCAGCATGTTCGACCTGTCCATGAAGGACAAGCCCCGGTCACCCTTTGGCAAGCTGAAGGACAAGGTGAAAGGCAAGAAGAAATACGACTTGGAGTCAGCCTCTGCCATCATCCCCAGCAGCATGGGTGGCCTTGACGTGGAGGATGACTACGACATTGGGGGCAAGAAATCCAAAGTGAAGGGCTTCTTCTTGAAGAACAAGCTCCGCAAGTCATCCTTGACTCAATCCAACACCTCCCTGGGATCCGACAGCACCATCTCCTCTGCCAGCCTGGGCCTGGCCTCAAATGTTCCTGAGGTAACCAGATCCCCCAGCAGACACAGCAGTGTGTCCATGGAGCGCTCTGGTAAGAGGATAATGGCTTTAATTCCCTCTCCCCCTTTTTATTCCCCCTTTTCTTTGTGAGGGACTGTTGAGGCTTTCCTGTAAATCTCTTAACTCGTTGCTTACCTGCATCCTGCAGAAACCCTCCGAGATCTTTGGATCTCCCTTTGGATGCTGGATAACCCCAAACCCTCCTTTTCCCCAAGTTTTCTAGGTACAAACTCTATTGAAGAAGAAGGAAGTGGCATTGCATTAAAACAATGTCGTTGTCATTGGAGCTTTAATTCAAAAACATAATGAGCTTTTTTGGGGTTGTGGCTGGCCCATCCCGGGCAGTGTTCAAGGGCAGGTTGGACACAGGGGCTTGGAGCAACCTGCTCTAGTGGAAGGTGTCCCTGCCCAGGGCAGGGGCTGGAGCTGGAGGAGCTTTAAGGTCCCTTCCAACACAAACCGTCCTGTGATTCTGTGGACTTCTGCATGCTGGCAGCAACGTGCTTGCCAGAACATGGGAGGACATCTAAGGTGTTGCTTTTCATACTCTCTGAACAACCTGACTTGGGTTGGTGCCACGTTCTCCCTTCAGCTCGCCACGACCTTGTGGGCTTTGAGGGTTCTTTAGGACCTTTTCTTCTCTGTCTCCTAAAAGCAGGTCACAGCAATAAGGCCCTGGTAGAGGGCTCGGTGCTGCTGCCCTGCCCCACTCCTGGTTGTCTCCTGGGACACCTCAGGCCTGAGGCAGAGCTGGGGCAGTGGCTGGTTCCTGGTGTTCAAGCTCTTGGCGCTTGGACAGTGGCGATTTGCAAACAAAAAGGGTCCTTGTGGAGAATTAATTCTTGCTTGGAAACAACGTGTAATGAAATGGTTTAATTGGCTGCAGGCAGCAAATCCCCACGTTGGTGGGAGTCTCTGGTGCTGCTCCTCACTGTGCTGCTGAAGCTGCTCCTGTGATGCCTCTTGGTTTCTGCTGCGTGATGGAGGCACTGGTCTGGCCGCAGCATCTGCCTGTGTCACTGTGTCAGCCCTCTTCATCCCAGCTGAGGAGAAGGAGGAGGAAGGGGCCCATCCAAGCCCAGGCAACACAGAATCATAGAATGGTTTGGGTTGAAGGGAGCTTAAAGCTCCTCCACCGCCCCGGGGCGGGGCCCCCTTCCCCTAGAGCAGGTTGCTCCAAGCCCCTGTGTCCAACCTGCCCTTGAACACTGCCAGGGATGGGGCAGCCACAGCTTCTCTGGGCACCCTGTGCCAGCACCTCAGCACCCTCACAGGGAAGAGCTTCTGCCCAAGAGCTCATCTCAGTCTCCCCTCTGGCAGGTTAAAGCCATCCCCCTTGTCTTATCACATAACTAGCTTCTGGGTAGTTTCTTGCATTTATTATCCATCTCAGATCCTCTCAGACAAGGGGGTTGTCATCTTACAGAGACTCTTCCCTGGATCCAGCAGTGGGAGATGATGTTTTGGGGAAGGACATTGTACAACCTGTGTAGCCACATACTTGTGACCTGTGCTTTGCATTTCTAGTAGTTTAATTATGCAGAGGGAGCCTGGGAGGGAGAAAGCTGGTGTCATCTCACAGGTCTCCTTAGTGTTTGCAACTAGTAGATAAGGGTGTTTGTCCTACCTGTGCCTGTTACTCAGGTGGCCTCACCCCTGCCTTGTGTTTGATTTCCCCTCAGTGAAAGACTTGTTGCCATCTCCAAAGCTGACCCACAAGAGAGCGTTCAGTGACGATGTCTCCCAGGTGAGCCCAGTCCTGGAGCCCAAAGCAATCAAAGAATGATCCCGTGTCCCGATCTTCCCTGTGCATCAACGGGAGCCACGTTTACAGCGACGAGCCTGCACCAAAGAGCCCCGTGTGTGTCCCACAGAGCTCCAGCCTTCCCAGGCGGCAGGAGGAGGGCTTTGGCTTTGCTCCCCTCCATCCTGAGCCCCAGGAGGTGCCTTGGGGGGTCAGCAGCTTTGAGAGGACGCAGCAGAGAGACGAGCCCAGGTTCATCCCGTCTCCTCCCAGCTTAGCCTTGCAGGAGGAGCTCAGGGTCTCCACGAAAGCTGTCACCCTCAGCAACCATCTGGGCAGAGCCAGGATGGAAGAGAACAGTCGCCTGGAGAACAAACCAACTCAAGCTGCAGCTCCCATGGTCTTCTCCACAGACACAGCGAAGGACAAGCAAGCTGAGGACACCAAGAAGGAAGACAAGAAAGCAAAGGGTGGCCTCTTCCACCACGGGGGCAATAAGAATGACACAGGGAGCAAAGGGCAAGGGGAGAAAGTGGGAGCTTCCCATGGCTCATCCATCCACACAGGGGGAGATGAGAGGAGTAAGAGCAGCAGCTGGTTTGGTTCAAAGGAGTCTCCTCAGAAACCCAGGTCAGTGAAATGGGTGTGTTGATGTCTGGGTCATGAAGTGGGTGCCCCAGTCTCATGTCTTCAACACTGAGCTGGTAAATGCTCTCCAGCATCAGCAGGGGGCTGGTCCCCGTTGCTCAGACAAGATGACAGTGGGGGAAAGGCTTCTTGATCTCAAATGTCTCAAGGGGAGGGTGAATCCTCCCCTGGCTTCTGCCACAAACCAACTCTATTTGCCCTTCTGGGCTGTGTTTCCCAGTTGGGAAAGGGAGGGATCCCCTTCGTGGAGAGGGAGATGTTTCCCTCTGCAGAGGCTCAGTGTGCTCGTGTCAAGTGTTTCTGTGGCCTCAAAGTAAAGGGTCATTATCCTTTAGCTACAAGAGCTTCCCTGGCAATCAGTCAGTGCAGGACGTGGGACACAGTGACATGGAATGACATCTATTAACCCCCTCTCCTCTGTGTTTCTGGTCCAGTTTGGGGGTGCAGTACTTTGGTACCTTAAGATGATACTTGTGAAGTAACTAATCCCATCCCTGCTCCTTCCTCTTCCCATCCCACCCCAACCTTCCCTTCTTCTCCCTGTTAGGAATCTAATTGTTCTTGCTTTGTGTGGTGATTCATCTCTTCCCAAATCCTCAGCACCGGATTCATGGCACACAAAACGTGGTGGTGGTGCTTCTGCTTCTGTGTGGGCTTTAGCATGTTGCTGGGTCACCAGTGTCCATCCCCATAGCTCCTGGGGGCCCAGGGGCCAATGGAGAGCCCAGTGTGGTGGTGTCATTGCTCAGTGAGAGGGAGGAAAGGGGTTAAAGCAGCCAGGGAAAAGAACCAACACTTCTGAGCTGGTTGAATCTCCAGGGTTGATTTATTAATGGGATTTTCCTAATCTGGGCTGACTTGAACCTCATTTGTTGAGCAGAAGGGGTTTAATTCAGTCTGAGCCTCCTTTCATGAGGAGGACACTCATGGTTTATCCAACCCAACCACATCCCCACAGGTTAAACTGCTTCTCAGGTGCTGCTCAGACCTCAGGGAGGGAGAGCACATGGCTCAGTGTGGCTTCAGACCAGGGGCAGCCCCAAAGCTGTTGTCTTCTCACCCCACAAGATGATGTTGTGCTTATAGGGGGGTCTTTAAAGCCAACGGGTGACAAGAACATGCTGCCACCCCCTTCCCCAGGACAGAAGGACACGTGTCCTTGTGCTGTGTGGCACAGGAGGTACCTGGAGAGGAGGATGAGCTGTTGGTGTGAGGATGGGAGAGGAGCCTCAAAGGCTGGTGAGGCTCGGTCCTGCAGTGCCTGGGCAGAGCTGGGGACACTGAGGCAGGCAGGAGCTGCTCCCCATCACAGCCCATCTCACAGGGCCTGCAGCTCTTTCCCCTGAGGCCATGGGGAAGGAAGGACCAGGCAGGATGTGGGCTCTGTCCCTGCGCTGCTCCAGCAGCAGAGGGATGAACATGAGGTCCTGGGAATGCTCCCACATATGGGTCTTTCATTTCCAGGGGACTTGAACCCTGCCGGTTACTTGGTGTCGCATCCCAGTGCAAGGTTTGTTTCTGGATGAGACTAAAGGAATCTGGTCTCTGACTGAGACGAGCTCTTGGGCAGAAGCTCTTCCCTGTGAGGGTGCTGAGGTGCTGGCACAGGGTGCCCAGAGAAGCTGTGGCTGCCCCATCCCTGGCAGTGTTCAAGGCCAGGTTGGACACAGGGGCTTGGAGCAACCTGCTCTAGTGGAAGGTGTCCCTGCCCGGGGCAGGGGTTGGAGCTGGAGAGCTTTAATGTCCCTTCATCCCAAACCACTCTGTGACACTATGAATGCTGTGATTGAAGGACAGAATATAACCACTCAAGATTGTTCTTTTATTCCTTTTTAGTTCATTTTGTGATAATAAAGCTGCTGTTTCAGTCCTAGAATAGAAGACCCTGTGTGAAACACAAACCCATCAAAGCCCTTCTGTGTTCAGGCAGTGACTGCACAAGCTGCTTGAGCCAGACACTGAAGTACTGTGAGCCTGCGATGGGATGGGAGATGCTCTCTGCATCCCCCTCTGGAGCCTTTTCCATGCTAAATGGGTGAGGAACTCCCAGGTTCCCTCCTTCTTTGCAGCTCTGGAATTGAGGCAGACGTGTTCCATGTGAGCAGCTTCATCCCAAGGGACGCCACTGTCCTCAAGGCAGGGATGTAAATGGGTCCCTGTAGCATCCAGCCCAGCAGATAATCACAGAGGTGCCCTCAAACACTGCTGGTTTCTAACAACCATTCCCTTCCATGGCAGCTGCTGGAGCCATTCCCAGTGTTATTCCTTTCCCAGAGGGTTTTCACTCTCTTCTCTCTTAACCTACTTCAGTGCTCATAGTGTAATTTCAAGCTAAGCTGAAGCTTGACCTAGAGCTGGTTTGCTCAGGACCCTGCCTGCAGCTGCCTGTCTTCTAAAGGAGGAACTTGGGTGAGCTGTGAGACAGCAGCTCCTCCAGCTGGGGTTTTCTCTCCCAAAAATAGGAATTGCTTTGAAGCAGCAGGGGCTGGAGAGAACAAATTCACAGAGGCCCCTTTTGGAGCGGTTCTAAACAGCTGAATGGGCTTTAATTGCAGTTTGCAGTTTGAAAATGGGAAGTAATGAGCTTAAACTGCAGCCTGGAGAAGAGAAGGCTCCTGAATGGGGCACCTTAGAGCAGCTCCAGTGCCTAAAGGGGCTCGATGTGGACAAGGGATTTACGGACAGGACAAGGGGAATGGCTTTAACCTGCCAGAGGGGAGACTGAGATGAGCTCTGATGCAGAAGCTCTTCCCTGGGAGGGTGCTGAGGTGCTGGCACAGGGTGCCCAGAGAAGCTGGGGCTGCCCCATCCCTGGCAGTGTTCAAGGGCAGGTTGGACACAGGGCCTTGGAGCAACCTGCTCTAGTGGAAGGTGTCCCTGCCCAGGGCTTTAAGGACTGGGGAGCTTTAAGGTCCCTTCAACCCAGACCAGTCTGGGATTAAAAGAAAGCCAAGTGATGCTTGGGGGTGTCCAGCTGAAGCCAGAAGGAGAATCTTAAGAGCTTTAGTTTAAGCTGGGCTGGTTCATTACACTTAAAAAACTCATGAGCAATAATAACCAGGATGTCAATGCTTTCCCCCCTGTGGCCCAGGCTGGGCAGGGAGTGATGGTGACAGAGTCTCATGTGATGCAGAAATGACCTTTCCATCATCACAGGGAGATGCACTGTCTCTGCTCTGGCTTTCCTGGCTCTTCATTTCTCTGACCATTAGTTACAACTCATTGTAATTTTACACAACTCTTGACTTCTCTGGTTTTATTCTCCTTCCTTACACTGCATTGACCCTGGGGAGCACGTCACTGCTTCAAGGCAAAGCTGTTGAAGAGCTTTTGAGGTCTTGCTGGTGCCAGGTTGAACGTACAGTCTGGTGGCATCAGATGTTCCCTGGGTGTTTGGCACCATGGTGTGTGGTCCCTCAAGTGTGGGTGCACACCCAGCAGTGGTGGTCTGTGCGTGTCCACCTGCAGCTG